CCCGACCTCTGCAAGGACTACAGGGAGACCGGCTTCTGCGGCTTCGGGGACAGCTGCAAGTTCCTCCACGACCGCTCCGACTACAAGCACGGGTGGCAGATCGAACGTGAGCTTGACGAGGGCCGCTACGGGGTGGACCAGGACGGAGACCACGAGGTGGGAAGCGGCGAGGAGGAGACACCACTCAAGTGTTTCATCTGTCGCCGCGCCTTCCAAAACCCGGTCGTCACCAAGTGCAGGCATTATTTCTGCCAGAGCTGTGCGCTGCAGCATTTCCGATCCTCCCCGCGTTGCTATGTCTGTGACAAGCAGACCCACGGCATCTTCAACCCAGCGAAAGAACTGGCTGCTGCGCTGGAGAAGCAGCGGGCCACAGCAGAGGGTGGCGCGGCCGACGTCCCCGAAGGCCCCGATGAAGGTCCAACTCCCACTTCTTAGGCCTCCCGATATTCTCAAATTTAAAAATAAATCATTTGTGGTTCTTTTGGGGAAAAAACAGAGATGGGAAAGCCTTATGTCTGTTTTGTCACTGAGAAGAAAAAAGCTAGTTGAAGATTAAAGGTATAATAGAGTCATTCAGGATATCAGGAGCTGTGGCTCACGCCTATAATCCCAGCTGTTAGGGAGGCTGAGGTGGGAAGACTGCTTGAGCCCAGGAGTTTGAAACCAGCCTAAGCAACATAGCGAGACCTCCTCTCAACAGAAATTAAAAAAAAAAAAAACAATGCCAAGTGTGGTGGGATTACAGGCGTGAGCTGCTGCACCCAGGTCCAAGTCATCAGCCTTTGAAAACATTCCAGATATACACTAAAAAAAATGTGTGTTCCATTTGAAAAACGGAAAAAGGTTCATTAGTGATCACGCGTCTGTAGTCCCAGTTAATTGGGACGGTGAGGCTGGAGGATCACTTGAACCCAGGAGTTGGAGGCTGCAGTGAGCCATCATCATGCCATTGCACTCCAGCCTGTGCGACAGAGTGAGACCCTGACTCAAAAAAATAAAAAAGACAGCAGATGCATAAGCATCCAGATTATACCTTTTGTCTATATCTGAGAGACAGAGAGAGACTAGAGTTCTAGCAGTTACCTTTCTTGGTATGCATGTATCCAAAAGATGTGAAAGCAGGATCTTGAAGAGAGATCGGCCGTCCCATGTTCACTGCAGCATTATTTACAATAGCCAAGAGCTGGAAACAACCTAAGTGTCCATCCACAGATGGGCAGTACATACAATACATACAATACAATGTGGTACATACATACAATAGAATATCATTCAGCCTTTGGAAAAAAAAAAAAAAGGAAATCCTATCACATGCTACAACTTGGATGGCTCTTGATATTATGCAAAGTGAAATAAACCAGTCACAAAAAGACAAATACTGTATGCTCCCACTTATATACAGTCCCTACAGTCACAGAAACAAAGTACAATGGCAGCTGCTAGGGGAAGGGGGGATGGAAAGTTATTGTTTAATGGGTACAGACTTTATGTTTTGCAAGATGAAAAAGTTCTAGCTATCCTGTTACACAACAAAGTGAATATAGTTAACACTACTGAAAAATAGTTAAGGGGTAAATTTCATGTTTTTTACCAGAATTAATTTTTTTTCCAAAACAAAAAAGAAATCTGAGAAAGAATGGTAGAAACAAGACTGGGAGAAAAAGATGAGGTTCAGCAGTTACCAAAGGCAAGCAAAGGACACCAGTTAAGAACAAGGAGTTAAGAACATCCACACTGACACTTGGATGTGATTTGGTTTGACTGATGTTAACATCCCCTCACTACGGCTAGATTCGGTGGCTCAGCCTGTAATCCCAGCACTTTAGGAGGCCGAGGCAAGTGGATTGCCTGAGCCCGCAGGTTCAAGACCAGCCAGAGCAATTTGGTACAATAAATCAAAAATTAGCCAGGTGTGGTAGCATGTGCCTGTAGTTCCAGCTACTCGGAAGGCTGAGGCAGAAGGATCGCCGGAGCGCAGCAGGTCGAGGCTGCGATGGCCGGGAGCGGTCACTGCACTCCAGCCTGGGCAACAGAGTGAGACTCCAACTCAAAAATCCTCTCACTTAAAATGGCAACTTATTCTTCTCCAAGGACAAACATCAATATATCCACAGTGGATTCCTTACAGCTGAGTTCCTTACAAGGAACTAAGTCTTGGATTACTTAAATTTTCATAAGAGCATATCTCATATCTCAACTTTGTCTGTGAACTCCTTAAAGACCAAAACCATGTCCTATCCTTATTCTTGAATGGCCAACACAATAAGAATCCCTATAAAAAGTCATGGGTTAGTGAAAGGTCAATCAAATCAGGCTACCTAGCACCTGCTGCAGAAAGAACTTCAGCAAAACCTTTCACCAGACTTTGACCTTGAACCACATCCATCCCCATGGCTAGGTTCCAGTCAGAGGCAGAGCAGTGGTTGAGGGCAGACCCAAGAGCCCAAGTGAGTTCAAATAATGGGTCTACCAGTTACCAGCTGTGTAACTTTGGGCATGTCCTTTTATCTCCCAATGCCTCAGTTTCTTCACAGGCAATAGTACCCTATCTCGCAGTATTGTTTTGAGGGGAAAACAAATTACCATATGTAAAGTGCTTAGGACAGCACTATGAAAGTGTTGGTTATTATTATTCAAGTAGGGAAAATGGCAACTTAAGAGGTGACAAGGCAGACAGTTCAAGTGCCTTGTAAAAGTGAGCCTTCATTCTGGCATTTCACATCAAGCTTCTCTAAGAATTGTCTTTGCCAGAGGCAACAATACCAAGCTTGTGTACCATAACTTACTGGGCCCTCCCCCTAAATCCCTCCATTCCTGTCAATTCTGTCAAAGGGCTATTTTATTCACTTTTGAGCCTTCCAAAAACATTTGGAGTCTGCACAAAAGAAGAAATATGAAACTTGCAGGCACTCATAAGCAGAAATTCTAAGCTCCTGCTCCAGGGAGCTCCTTGCAATGCTCAGTAGGGTATCTTTATAATACTTCACGCGCGTCTTAGAACCTGATATGTACCTGACTCAGCTACACCCGTGAACTTTAGCAACAAATATTCCAAGTCGCCAACATTTTTCTTAATATATATTTTGTAAAGACGAGGTCTTGCAATGTTGCCTAGGCTGGTCTCAAACTCCTGCACTCCTCCCACCTTGGCCTCCCAAAGTGCTGGGATTACAGACATGGAGCCACTGCGCCTGGCCCCAAGTCATCAACCTTTGAAAACATTCCAAATATACACTAAAAAATATTTGTGTTCCATTTTTAAATAACAGAAAAAGGCTCATTAATGATAATTTGCAAAATTAAGTAGAAAGGCAATCACTGCTAATGCCTGCTAAATTTGGTAATTTGGTTTACCAGTGTACAGTTAGTAAACAAAATCTGTTAACAATTTGGCCAATTTCCTTCCAGTCTTTTCTCTGCATATTTAAATATATGAAGTAAACATTCTGGAGTTGGAAGGAAAGAAGAAAGGACTCCATGGAATGCACACATTGACTGGGCGTCCAGGCCTTCTTGGAACCCCAGGTTGTTGGCTTAAATAGCCATGAGCAGGGATGAGGACAGTCCCCTGTCAGCATCACACCAATTTACATGGCAAACTAGCGGGGAAGTGAGCAGAGCAGCATAGGGACAGCTGACCTTCAATCAGGACTGTGGTTACCAGTGCTTTATCCTGTCTGGGTCAGGGTCCCCCCACATTCCAGTCCAACCCTGATCCCTTGTGTCAAAAGAACAAATCAGCAGGGCCACAGTTAAACAACAGCTAACTCCACCTCCTTTCCATTCACTAAAGGCACATGGAATGGTCAATAAGTCCTTCTGATCAGCATGAGATGTGAGAGAAAAGTCTGGCAAAACCAAACAATGCTTTGATGCTTTCATTAATTTGCAGGGACTTACAGAGACGGCCTTGGCCCCACCGCCCTGTGACTGCAGGATTCTGATTAGGCCTTGTGAAATCCTGAAAATACCTTGCACACGCCTGCATTCCAGGTTCACCCCTTAGGCAGACTTCAGGCTAAGAGGCAAAAACCTAGAGTAAATGAAAATCAAAACCTGAAGGAAACCGTACCCAGGTTGATTGATATCCTGAAATATACAAAATTCCTTCCAAGGAATTTTCATAAGTACCACGTGAAATTTAAGCAAACCGAGGAACAGTTTGCCATTGAGTTTTTATGCATGCCAACTGCCCATAAAAATTCCTCTCCTGTTTTGCAAGGACAGAACTCTCAAGAACAAATGACCTAATTAAACCTGAGGTTTCCTGGCTGAGAGCTATGTAGAAGGCTGAAACGATGCTGAATTTGGAAGGGGCTGTACGCCAAACCAGTGTCGTGTATTAGGTTTTCCTTTTTTTTTTTTATTTTATTTTTTTGATGTGGATATCCAACTCGAGAGCTAAAACACATGAGAGTGACAGACATCCTAAACTGCTTTTATTTATGAAGCAACCAGAATGCGTATTTTCCCACTTATCTACTGCAGTTTTCAAAATGATTATGCGGCACTCCGAATGCATCTTTTTGGCACGCTGTGTCGGTCTGCCTTTGCTATTGGGTTGCTGCCAGCCCAGTACAACAGTGTGGCCCTGCTGCCTCTTGTTCCAGCTTTCAGAAATGTGCTCAATTATCCCATACTCTCCCTGGGCTCAAGACTCCCACCCCAACTGATTTGCACAGATGTTCAAGGAGAAAGAATTTTTTTTTTCTTTAAACGAATGTCAAGGGCCTGGCAAACTACTATACAAAGAAATGCAAAAGTCAGCACTCTGTGAAAAAGCTGGCTATTAGCTCACTTCCTTCTCTCTCTTCTTCCAAAAAAAAAAAAATTCATGGAAGGGATCACATACTTGCCCAAGGACTAAAAGAAACCAGGAAGTGGCCAGGTGAAAGGCTAATGGGTCATTTTTTTCTATACCTTTCTGTTGAACTTTAAGGACCTGTTTTGGTAGGTGTTTTTAAGGGTGCTTTGCTAGGGGCAGCTCTATGATTATCATTCTTCTGGTTCTAACCCCTGGGAAGGTGAAGTCATGAGGAAATTCCAGGGGGGTCACAGAGGCTAGAAGCCTCGCAGGTCACACAGCTGATCGGTGGCACTGTGTGAGACCAGCCCCAGCACCTGTGCCAACCCCCATGACACCCTATTTTCAGAGCTTTGTTGATCCTGCCAGTTTCTCCTGCCTTCCCATCACGCTGTGCACATGGCCACCGATGCCTCCCTAAGCAGCCGAAATTATATCAGTAGTGCCACACCCTGTTATCCTGCTCAGAAAAGTCTCACTCGGGGCTCATCAGAAGGAGAATTCTCAGTTTTTCCCACCCCACCCAACAAACAGCAGAGTAGAAAAGGCACAGCAGGATTTCCACAGCCCTGGAAGATGTCGTCAGTGACATCTTCTCTTTGTTCCATCCAGAAGAGAATTGCTACACTGA